AAGAGCATGACTCTCTTAACATATACAGCAGAAGCAACTAAAAGCAACCCATCAATAATGAAAAACGAAGAATTTGAAGAAACCTACCTTTAAATCCAGTGTTCCTGCGCTGATAAGGCAACTTGCTGACCTCGAGCAGCATAGCCACCTCTCTGCCATAACTAGAGGCAGTCTCAAATTCATCCCTGATTTCCTTCACAACCTCCTGAAGGTCCCTGGTGCCATGAACAGACAATGCGGATAAGCTACTCGGTTCTGAAGATTCAACATTGCTAGTCGATGTCTCCCCAACCTCAAAAGTCACCCCTTTTTTCCTCGCTTGCTCCTCCTCAGAACTCTTTGACACAGAAGTATAATGGCTACTATTACTTTCTTTTCCCTGAGTAGCAGCATCTGTACTCTCGCTGTTCAGTGATGATGGCATAACACCCTTTGAACTTGAAACACCCTCGGCATCATTTTGCCGGGGAACTGCCCTTGAAGTCCCCTCACCTGAATTCATGGTCTTGTTCTTATTACTCGGATGCTTATCTTCATGTTCATTCAACTTTTTCTTCTCTTCAAAAACCTCTTTAACCACTTGCTGCTCAGTCTCTTCTTCTAACTCAGGAATCCCTTCTCTCTCCCTAACTTCCTTTGAATCAGGACTACTCGTGGTCGACCCATAGCCATACCCATATCTACTCTGCGGATAGTAACTTGGATACCCAGAACTATTAGCATCGAATGTCTCAAACACATTCAGGAAATCCCACGTGGAGACACTCGGTGGAGAGGGTGGCGCCGGAGGCGGAGGTGGCGGGCTTGGCTGCCGATTATAGGACTCATTCGGCGGCGAGTACCCAAAAAATCCGGCAGGTGGATATGGCAAATAACCGGGATAGCCATACCCAGGACCCTGCCACTGCATATTTGCCGTCTGGTGCCTCTCCGGGTCCTCGTATATGAACGATTGCGCCGGTGTTGCAGACTTCTTCATGTAATACATACCGGAATTTTCACCAGGAAAACCCCAGTTCCCCATGGGATAACCATATCGAGGAGGATAAATCTCCGGCATCTCTTCTTCCTTCTCTGGGCTGCTGCTTTCGAAGTGGATGTGACCGGAGCTGTCATCATTGTGGATGTGACCCGAGGGGGAGTCGGATCCGGATAACGACCCGGACGGAGATGACAAATGCAAATGGGAATCCTCAATGTCTTCTTCCTTATGCGAAATTGAAGTAGAGGAAGAAGAAATCTTGGTTTTGTTTCTGGCAGATTTGCCCTCGTCGGAGGGCAAGTTGAGGACGGGAGAGTCCGGGGAGGAAGAGGCAGAGGGGGAGGCGATCACGAGCTCTTCGTCGACGAACTTCCGGATCGCGTCGCCGACATCTTTCAGGGACTGGAAATAAGCGAGATGAGCGGCAGCAAGCGCGTAGCGGTGATGGGAGGCGGCTCTGATGAGGTCTCTTCGCTCTCTGCAGAGTCTCACCAATGGTAAATCGTCGGCTTTGGATCCTCCGCAACCCATATGCAAAGAGGGTAAGGTCGGGTTGTCGTGTGAAACGGCGACGTATTGGTGGTCGTCTTGCTCATGGCGCCCATCCATAGAAGCTAGAAGGAGGAGGAAGCATTTTTCTGTTGGGAATTAATTCCGGGTTCATGAATGAAGAGGAAGAAAGTTAGATCCAAGGGCGAATCTATCACAGTCGAGTCAAAAAGGCAAGGGCGAGCAAGTTCTTGAGTTTAATGGAGAAAACCAGTCGGATAACATACTAGTACACTATATAGAGCAAATAAAATGCTTTATCTGCATATACATTCAAAACGCCATGGAAGAACATGGAGAGGTTTAATTGGGTGCATGAAAGAGCGAAACAAAGACTGAAACGACGAAATGGGTGGAAATAAATCCGACGGTCCATGCGAGGTGGCAGAAGAAATCGACAGAGTAGTTTTGAAATTTCAATGAAACTGAAACTGGGTTATGGAGTATTTTGTTGCTTTGCTACGGGCATTCAGTTGATCATATTTTTATATATTAAAAAATAACAGAGAAAGGAAAGAGCCTGGAGATGCGTGAAAAAAAAAAAAAGGAAAAAAAAGTTGGGATGCGAAATGAATGCGAATATAAATGGAGGCGGCCTCTTCTTCTGTGCTGAGATAGTTTCAGAAAGGGTTTCTCCAGACACAGTGGGAAAGTAGAAGAAGAAGAAGAAGAAGAAGAGGAAGAAGAAAGCTCGTGGAACCCGCCATATGTAACGGACCTTGTCATTATGACGACGGGATCGTATTTTCCTTGTTTTGAAAAATCTCATGGTCTCGTCTCTTTGATTTTTACCTTGTCCTGTTTCGTGTTCTTCGTACGTAGCCTGAAAGCAATAACTTTCAACGCAAAATATATAATTGAGCAAATAACAAATTTTCACCCGCATGAAATTAAAATTCTTTGCACGGCATAAAAATCAAATTAAAATTTACGGGGAATAAATAATTTTTTTTCTGGGTTAACGATAAAATTATTATGTAAATCAAATATAATAAAAGATTGCGACGTGACATTGGATTCTTCGAATTAAATACTAAACAAGATTAATTAAGAATAATACTTTGTATTAAGTTATGTAATCCGCGATGATTCTGGAGGGCGTCTCTATTTTGAATCCCAATGTGTATTTACTTCCCCAACTTCTTCTTTGTTTTTCTTTTTGTAATTTAATTAAACTCGTGGGTTAATCTCGTTTATCCCAACATTAACTTAATTACGTTATATTAATTGTGTTGATAATTACGGATATATTATTATGCTTTAAGATTCTCCAATAAAGAAAACCCACCAACCCATGTCTTGCATTTTCACTACAAACTCTAATTGCCTCACTACTCTATTTCTCGTGGCTAATTCCAATCAAATTATTTCAAATAATAATAATAATAATAATAACCCGTAAGATAATTAAGAAAGAATTAAGTTATTCTTAATCACAACTTTGGAATAAGAAATCACTTTTTTAAATCCTTACACTTTTTTTTAAAAAAATATTAAATGTATTTATTTAAAGTATTTCAATATTTTATATTCGCTCTTAATTCATATTCGGCCTAAATAGTTTATTGACTTATTTTAATATTAACTTATAAATTATGTGTAAATATAAACATAATCTTTTTCTACTATTTTAAAATTTTATATAATTATTTTGTTTTAATTATATTATTTTTACCATTATTATTATTTATTAATTGATCTATATATGTCGTTTTATGTATTATTGTTATTATTATTTTTTTTAATAATTTCTAACAAATATATTACTATTATTTGTTATTAGTATCGCTGCTTATATTATTGTTGTAATCATTTATATTATCATCACCGTTATTATTGTATTCGATCATCTAATATTTGTTGTTAAATATTAAAATAACGTATTAAATTAATTTTTTTTATACTATACTATTCAATTTCTTAATCAATCGTTTGAAATATATGAAATAAAATTAATGTTTACATATTTTATCTCATGTTGAATAGGAAATTATATTTTATTGACATTGGGAAAGAAAACACATGTTTACATATTCATCACCACATTGGGCCGATTACCCACCCTCCTATAGTATATAAAACACAACGTGCACATATAATATTATCATAAACATATATATATATATACGTACGTACGTAGATACATATATATATATTTCAAGTTAACACACTGAAAATAACAATGTTCAAATTGGAGATTTTTATTAATATTTTATAAATAAAGAGGAAAAGGTTTTGATGGG